CTAAAAATACAAAGTTAGCTGGGTATGGTGGCAGGCGCCTATAGTTCCAGCTACTCAGGAGGCTGAGACAGGAGAATGGTTTGAACCTGGGAGGCAGAGGTTGCCGTGAGCCGAGATTGCGCCAATGCACTCCAGCCTGGGTGACAGAGTGAGACTCCATCTCAGAAACCAACAAAAACAACTACAAACAAGCCATATTTACTATCCTACATAGTTTCTGTGGATTAGAAATTTGTGAACAGCTTAGCTCGGTGGTTCTAGCTCAGGATTGGTTTCAAAGCTGCAATCAAGATGTCAGCCAGAGCTGCAGTCATCTGAAGGCCTGCCTAGGGCTAGAGGATCCACTTCCAAGGTGGATCATTACTTGACTGGCAACTTGGTGTTGGTTTGTTGGTGGAACGCTTGCCTCAGTTCTTCTTTATGTGGGCTCTCCACATGGACTGCTTTAGTGACCCCGTGACATATACATGGCTTTCCTTAGAGCAAGTGACCCAAAAGAGGCCAAGGTAGACACTGCAATCAGTGTCACACACTGACACTTCCACAATATCCCATTGGTTACTTGGGTCAAGTTTATTCAACGTGGGAAGGGATGACAATAGGAGGGCTGTCTTGGAGGCCACCACATTTTGTTGTATACAATCTTCATGATATTTCATATTAATACTCTAATGAGTTAGAATTTATGTTTAATAGAAAATAATAGCTTATAGATATGAGGCATCTGGTTTGATTTTATTTAATCTTTAAAACAATGGTGTAAGGTAGGTGCTTTTAATACCCCTTTCCACAGATAAGGATGTTGAGGAACAGATAAATAACTTGTCCAAATGTTCACCCAGTAAGTGCAGGGCCAGGTTCTAAATCCAAGTTCTAAACTGCTAAGATTCAGGGTAATTTGTTACATAGCAATGGATGACTAATACCGTAATTGTCTCAAAGTGCTACACATGATTTTAAAGGTTGTCTAGCCTCATGCAGATCCCCAAATACTTTATCACAAAATACCAGAAAAGGAGGTTAGGGTGGTTTCAGTTGGAAATTAGGGACTATTGTCAACTCTACTTTGATATTGAAGGTCTGTAACCACAGTGGTTTCAGGATAAAGTAATTCACAGACTGCTATTAGTTAATAGAGCCAAGGGGCTATAACATGCACTCCTGTCTTGGATTTTCTCCTAATATATTTCTCAGCTGACCTTTTTTTTTTTTTTTTTGAGACAGGGTCTATTGCTTTGTTGCCCTGGCTGGAGTGCAGGAGTGGGGTGCAGTGGTGTGATCATAGCTCACTGTAGCCTTGACCTCCCAGGCTCAAGCAATCCTCCTACCTCAGCCTCCCAAATAGCTGGGACCACAGGTACACACCACCATACCTGGCAAATTTTTTAGATTTTTTCTAGAGATGAGGTCTTACTATATTGCCCAGGCTGGTTTCAAGCAATCCTCCTGCCTTGGCCTCCCAAAGTGCTGTGATTATAGGCATGAGCCACCACACCCAGGCTCAGTTGACCTACTGACCACTTGCCAAGATACCCAGTACAACAGATTGTTCATTGTTTATATTCTAATAGTAAACATTTATTGAGTACTTATTATGTGCCAGGTGCTATTCTAAGTGATTTACGTATACCCAATCATTTATTTTTATTCCCATCTTATAGATGATAGAACAGAGGCACCAAAAGGTTAAACCAGGGCTCACAATCATTAAGTGTTAAAGCTCGAATTTGCATTCAAGTAGACTGACTCACTATTAACCATTGCGTTAGAGGTTAACACAGAGAGGCAAAAGTTCCAAAAACTCTAGGAGAAGACAGAAGGGTTTCAAGGGCTATGACCTACCAAGTAAAAGGCAAAATAATCGGAAGCAAGTTAAATTTATCTTTCTCCTGATAATGTTCTTTCAATTCTCAGAGGCTGAATTTGCTAGGAAATTATAAAATGTTGTTTAGGGTTAGATCTCTTTTTTCTCTCACCTCCTTAAATAAGCTTTGTTCAGAATGTCCATTTGAAACTTAGACTGGAACTTTCTGTACCCTAGTTTCTATATTGCCTAGCTAGGCCACAAAACAAAAAAAATTCTAAGGTTCTATCAGCCATTTAGATCTCAGTCATCTTTTTAGTCATACTAGAACTCACAAAGTCCTCTTAACTGAAAGGGCTCCTGGCCTACCATCAAAATGCTCATGTGTTAGGCTTTATATCTGGATTAAAGTAAAGTCAGCAAGAACTGGTCTCAGAGGAATTCTTTCCTCCAGAACAGAGGCAATGTGTGAGATTTAAGAACTCAAGCCTTAGCATCTGGGAGACCTTTCAATTTGAATCTTAGCTCACTATTTGACATAGAGCAAGAAACACGAGTCTCAAATGTAAATCAGGAAACAACAGGACCAGAGCTGATGCACAGGAAGCACTTCGCATTGTAGAAGGCACTCAATAGCTGCTTGGTATAGAGTAAATACATGCTTGGTTTTGAGTAAATAAATACTTGGTATTGAAACGATTATTTCAATCATTGATCTGTGCACAAGAAAATTGTGTATCATAAACATTTTACTCTTGAGCAAACATCGATTATTAAAAACATATGTTCAAATTCATTATCCATTCTATTTAATTAAATGCTTGAGGCGCTTGGGGAGCTTACATTTGTGATTTAAGTCTGTGTGTTTTTCAAATGTATCTTTCAGAAGAGATTAAGACACTGCAATTTTAAGCAGGGCAGTGTGGCTCACGCCTGTAATCCCAGCACTTTGGGAAGCTGAGGTGGGCAGATCCCTTGATGCCAGGAGTTCAAGACCAGCCTGGGCAACAAAGCGAGACACTGCCTCTATAAAAAACATTTTTTTAAATTAAAAAAAGTGCAATTTGAACACGTCAATATAAGATTACCTTTTAATTCAAATGTGTAGATATCTATTGTGCTGGAATCAGATGGGCAGCAGGTGATCTCACTCGTGGCATCTTGGTGTTCTGCGATGTGGCACATCCACTTCTTAAATGCAGATTATTGCACTGTAATAAAAATCCTCCATGTTCAGTGCTTTCATTGTGTATAACTGTGTAAACTGTAGACAAAAAATATTCCTGAATTTGTGTGTGTGTGTGTGTATGTGTGTGCGCGGATGTGCAATCCGAGATGGTTGTTAAAGCTCGAAAGCGAGCTTAGCCTCTAGACTCGCCTCTCCTCCGAGGCCCAGCCAAGGTGGACTCGCACCGTCACAAGACCGGCCAGGCCGTGGCAATGAAGCAGCAGCCAGTCTTGGTGCTAGGGACCCAGTTGTTCTCCGTCCCGCCCCTGCCTGACAGCCCCGCCTTGCCCCGCCCCGGGCCACGCCCCACCCTGGCCCCCCACCCCCAACAGTACTGCTTGCATCTCCCGTGAGCCTCTTCGACTGTCACTCTTTGGAGAAAAAGTGACGTCTGCACTGAGGTGGCCGCTAAAGTGCGAATCGCGACGGGTGGTGGCCGTTGGGTCCCGGCGGGAGGCGGGGTTTCCGCTCCCTGGGGCGCACGTCAGTCAGGAGGCGGAAGCTCAGCGGGGGCGGGAAGGTTGTAGTGCGGTGAGTTGAGCTCCTTTTGCCTAAGTGGTCGCGCCCCCTTTAAGAGCCGCGATTGGAAAGCGAGGCGGTCCCGGTGTCCTCGGGTCCCAGGTAAGTACCACAGTCTGGCGGCACCGGGGAATGGAAAAGTGTGGCCCTGGTCCTAACCTGCCGCCGCTGTCTTTGTTGCTACAGGCAGCGACCTCCCCTCCGACCTTGCCACCCAACATTTCTCGCTCCTACTTGCTTCCTTCGTCTCGTTCACAGCCCTGGCCCTGTCGGCTCTGCACGCCCGCAGGCAGGGACCTTTCTGGCACGCCAGTCTAGCCCTGTCACAAGATGGCCCTGTTGTCCTCCAGTCCTAACCCGGCATTGTCAGCCGCTGGAGACACCTAACGATTCGTTTATTAAAAACTGGTGCCTGTTTTCCATTTCTTATGTCTTTCCCGGCTCCCTAGACTAAGGCGTCACTCTTTGCTCCCAATGAAATCAATTATGTGCCTCCGGCACTGTGCCCACCTTTTAAAGAGCGCGTTTGTTAAGCTTTTTTTTTTAAAAAAATTAATAGTATATGGTTGCTTGAATAAGACTTTATTTTCCCATCGGATTATATGTTCCTTGAGAGTAGGAGTAGGATCTTGCTCATCTTGGATCTCCCCAGGATTTAGTATGAAAGCACGAAGTTTGGAAACCAGCAGCCCAAATAATTCTTACTAGCTTTATGACCCTGGGTACGGTCTCCTCATCTATAAAATGTTGATAAATAAATAAAGGAACTAATTTCGAGCATCTTACACAGTGTATGGTGTAGAGCAGGTACACTACTCCTTTTCTTTTTTTTAGCTTTCAGCGTACACAGTAGTTGCTGGGTATGTGTTTTAGACGAATGCAGAGACACCATAGGTGAATGATTTTTTTTCCTAACAGCATGATTGTATTGACTCTTATCAATTGGTTGATATATTTGGTAAATACAACCTAATGTTTATTAAAGACAGTAATGCTAAATGGTGTGAACATCTGCAAGAATAAACAATGCCGTATTTAATTAAATGCTTGAGACAGTAGCAGAGTTTACATGTGGGATTTCAGTCCGTGTACATTTCAAATGTATCTTTGTGAAGAGGTTAAGAAACAGCAAACATTTCATTGTAAGGAGGGAGGCTAACTGTTCCTTTTAGTTTGTGATTAAAATATGGTGCATTGTATATGTGTGTACACATATTTTACAGGTGATTGTGAAGTGCTGACCAATTGCCACTGGACATAATTGAAACAAAATAGGAAAATGGCAGCAAACTCTTCAGGACAAGGTAATGACAGCGGGAATTTGTTTACTAGGAACATTTTCCCTGTATAGTAAATGTATTGGAATAAGAGAAAATTTAGCATAGGGCAGTTACTGTAGCCAGAATTTAAAAAATGAATAGCAGGACAGGAGCGGTGGCTCACTCCTGTAAGCCCAGTACTTTGGGAGGCTGAGGCAGGTGGACTGCTTGAGGTCAGGAGTTCGAGATGAGCCTGGCCAACATGGTGAAACCCTGTCTCGACTCAAATACAAAAATTAGTTGGGTGTGGTGGCAGGCACCTGTAATCCCAGCTACTAGGGAGGAGAATTTCTTGAACCCAGGAGGTGGAGCTTGCAGTGAACCGAGATCGCGCCACTGCATTCCAGACTGGGCGACAGAGTGAGACTCCATCTCAAAAAAAAAAAAAAAGAAAAAAGGCAAAGAAAAAAACTACATTTGAAATACACTCATGTGCTGAATAATGACATACTGCTTATAGGATGGTGGTCCCATAAGATTATAACGGAGCTGAAAAATTTCGATCGCCTAGTGATATCTTGATAATCCTGACCGTGTGTAGGCCTAGGCCAATGTATGTGTTTGTGTCATTTTTAA